AGAGTAGCCCCCCAGTTCCGAATCCGAGAAATTACGGTCCGAAATCTCACTGGGATCATTTTATCTCCTGTAAGCGATATTCGTAATTTCACGGATTCTAATCCTTAGTGCACAAGCGACATCCGAAGGGGGTCCGAATTTTCTACATTTGTATAGTCTCGGTTTTAGAACGAATATGAATCGGATACAGTAAAACAAATGTAGGCCATAGAAATATTTCCCCCGACCCGGGAATCGAACCCGGGACCTCTGCGTGGCAGACCAGCAGTTCGTTACGTAGTGTTTCATAGTTCAACGGTACTTACCAGACTCGCTGTGAGAGTCAGTGTTGGCGACGTGTCGCTGAACGTGTTGCTGCAACAATCGCTCGTTGGGGAAGGTCAAGTCGCACAGCTTGCAGACGTGGCCGCGCGGTGGGCTGCGACTGCGCACAATGGCGGGCCGCTTGTGCACGACGGCGTGGACATCGCGTCTGGGTATTCATACCAACAATAACTGGTAGATATTTGTACAAGTTTACTGAGTGCGTAAATGTGGAACTCTTTATCATTGAATTTCCCGAACGACACAACCTGGATAAGGTCAGATTAAACAAGCATTTTCTAGGCTACGCTACCAGGTGATAAAATCGAACAGCTGGACCTTGCGTGTGCCGGACTGACCAGCCAAATGATAGGGACATTTGGGCAAAAAGGCCAATCACATTTCGAAGGATTTTGTGTCGTAGGTTTAATACGACAATCTGGTTTTTTTTATGATAAGAACTGACGGGACGAACAAGTTGTACGCCTGGTAATAATCGACAGTCTGTCCATAACAGATGCAGTATCACTCACAGCTTTAAATCGAAATTATGACAGAAGCAATAGTTATTTGTTATGAAAGGCTGCAAAGTTGTTGTTTGACTCCAGTGCTTGTATTGAAATCTGAAGAAGCGAAGGAATGTACTATTAGATTAGAAAATGGAGTCCTGAGAGGAAAATGGTAAATGAAAGAAAAACATTGAACTAAAATAATTTAATAAACAAAATTAGTTATCGTTGTCAATGTCAACAATAATAAGAATAAAATATACCAACGGATTTATGTTACATAAATAAGTAATTTACGACAAATCGCGTAGTTGAACGTGTCATTATCTTTTTTTTTTTCATCGAAAGAAATAGTTAGGTGCACCACGGTCCATCATCAAGTTCGAATTTCAAAGCAAATTCCACGCTAGAAACGCTTTTGCGTGCAGATTTTAATGAGAAAGAAAGCCTTGAAAAAGGTAAAAAAAATGAATAGCAAAAAGGACAAACACAAATAAAAATAAAAATATGCAAGGCGTTATGGTGACACTTCAAATGGCTATTTGCATTTACGTATTTGATATATTCAAGTGGCAAAGTACTTGCCTTGCTTGCCTATTCGACAAATACAGCAAACATCAAAACACGTGTTACTTTGCGCTGGTCGGTTTTTCGATGCACATCAAAGGGATCACTTACTTGCCTATGTAAACGGTCATATGTGGCGGTATTTGCATGTTTATCATAAGTCAAATATATTTCAAGCACAACAAACACCCAATAGCGAATACAAAGAGCCGCGTGAAGTTGCCACATTGCTTGTGTACGCCGTGGTGACAAAATGGCCATAGCTCAACGTAATTGCTCCGCAATCAGAACAACACATAAGTCGTAAGTCAATGAGACACAAGTTGACAAATACCATGTGTCAGTAATTTCACCAAGATATTGCACCTATATCATATATAGTTCATTTTACATAGCATGATTCCGGTGACGTTTGAAATATGAAGTTTCTACAAATTAGTGTTATAAAATTGAATAAAAAAATCGATTTAAATATTTAACAATAAATAATTAACAAAATATTAAGGATTCAATTATTATGTTATAAAAGGGAAATAAAAATAAAATAAAATCAAGTGAAACAAAACGAAATATGAGCAATGTGTCAGTAATTTCACCAAGATATTGCACCTATAGTTCATTTCACATAGCATGATTCCGGTGATGTTTGAGATTTGAAGTTTCTACAGATTAGTGTTGTAAAATTGAATAAAAAAAATCGATTTAAAAATTTAAAAATAAATAATGAACAAAATGCAAAACTCAAAACAAAAGAAAACGACCCGCACACAAAGTGTATGCACTCGTATCGACGCGAGATACACAATAATCGATTCGATTGATCGATTTAATGGTGTAAATCTCTACGGACAAAATATTCCGTTTTAAGCATCAAGTAATCGGAGTAATTTATTTTTATCTTTATTATTTCATTTTCTTTCTACATAATACTCTAATTTTTATTTAAAATTACAACTGCCAAAAATATTGTTTGTTTTTGGCACATTATGACTTTGCTATTTCTTTTTGTAACCTGGTTGAGAGATTAGTTATAAATAACGTGGAACGTAAACATTAGAAATGTCACAGGACTCGTCCTAGGTGAAATGGACTATAATGTTTTCGTAATACGAATGGAATATAATAGCCAATAATGATAAAGTACGTACGGTACACACCTGTGATTGTACATGTGGTTTCTCTGTTGAAACTGTTCCCCGCAGATGTTGCACTCGTATGAACTCTCTACAGGCCGACCGTTCAGGTGCCGCTTGCGGTGCTGGTTCAGATTCGTCACCTACAACCATCATGAGATTACTTCATTTTGTATTATACTTTAAAAAACTTTTGAAAAAAGTTTCTAAACGAAACAACATTAACAAAGACGCAACTCTGAAAGTCTGCTACACAGAGATCCCGGGGTTCAGTTCCTAGACTACGAGAAATGTTTGTTTGTATGGCCTACATTTATTTCTCTCACGAGTTTGGATGTAATTTGTTGTGTTCTATGTGTGTCGATGGCACCCGCGACACAGAGTTTCCCTAGTGCGAGGTTATTAGTATGTACGTTACTTAAAAAAATTGAAAATTATTCTGCCAAATCATTACGGTGACAACTGCGCTTCGATTAGCCAGCCCGAATTCGAAACAATTGACGGGTGTCGTCACTTGTTTCACTTCAAATTGACCAATTTAACTTGAGCTTTGCTATACTGGACGAAAATTAAAAAATTAGACCATGAAATATGATTCCGTTTGTTTTGTAATTAGATGTTTTGCTGTTTTTCCCACACCACCGAATGGAACAGCCCCCCATAATTAGAGATATTATCTTTATTACAATAAATACAGAATATTGTTGGAATATACGGAGACGTAAACACAGGTCAGTTGCTGGCGCTGTACTATTTCAGCTTTCTAATTTGTGATTTCAGCGCAAACGAGAGTTGATATTCAAAAGTAAGGTTTTTATACCTGATGAGTGGCCAGGGATGGATGGCCCTTATTTCGTCTCTATTTCTGGTTATATACTCGATGTTGGTTATACCTGCTTGCATGGTACCCCAACATGAAGGAAAAATACAGCAAAACTCACCTGGGCATAAGCCTTGTTACAACCCGGCTCGGGACATACAAACGGGCGCTCGCCGGTGTGGAGACGTACGTGGTTGTTCAAATTTGTTACCTGTATTCGTGCAAATCGTTATTCAATATACATCCATTCTTAATTTGTTTATTTAGAGTAGAATAGATTAATTTATTACAACGCCACAACACAAAAATGCACCGAAATAAAAAAACACAAAGCAAAAGTAAAACAAAAAACAATATAAACAGAAAAAACATAATCCAATTTGAAACAGTCAACCCAATTTGAATAAATGTCATGTGTTCGGCTGTAGCGGATGTAAAAGGATCCACTCAGCTAATGTCACAGCCGAGTAAAGACTGTGACGCTGTTTTTCAGTGGACCCTAAAACCGAGTAACGGACGTGTGTGCAGCGCTTGAAAAATAAAATATTTTACATATATACTACTTTTAATATATTTCTTTCTTTAAAGACTTAAAAACCAGATACAAAGATCCGACAAACAAGCTCCGCTGGTTCGGTCCCTTGCTTAGTTAGTTAATGAAACATCCTACACTTAATTACATAAACATTTTCTATAATGTAGAACGTTGTGTTCTTGTGGTGTGTGCTCAATATAATATTCAAACAATTTACTTGATACATACATACAGTGATAAGTAAGTGTATTGCAGTATCCAGCGTTTACAACAAACAAAACAAAATAGAACTTATTTGGTTTATAGTTAAACCGATTGCAAGATTTGAGAATAGATATGATTCTCATTGACGATCACATCGTGATAATTATTAGAATTACGATTTGGTATTTAACCCATACATTATAATACAGAAAATAAGATTATATTTTATAAACCCTGGAGGTCTACTCCTGTCCGCCATCCGACATCCGTCCGAAACAATTGCTGTCAAATAAGTAATAGGTACTCAACGAAATTAAATGACCATAATCTAGTGTGAAGCTTCATTCGTATCATGCGGCTTTAAATTTAGTCGAGTATTACTTATTTGACAGTAATTGTTTTGGACGGATGTCGGAGGGAAAACGGAAGTAAGCTACTAGTCACTAATTTAATCAAGAATTATTTGATAATTGACAGATTCACACTTCGTTATCAAAATCTTTCATCCAGTGGTGACCATCACGTCATTGGACTATGTCATCTGCCGCCGCAAGGAATGTTGTAACAAATAATACTGGCTTATTTATATTATTCTTGAATGTTCTAAATATTTTTTTTAATCCTCATTTTTTTTATGTCGTTCTGACTTCTGGACCTTCAATAAACTCTCCATATAAAACCAACATGTATTTTCCGTTAAAAGTCTTCGAAATTACAACATAATTATGTTATCAATCGTTATTTTGATTAAAACTATGCTATAACATATGCAAAAGGTACCTGTGTGAAAGCTTTCCCACACTCCCCGCATTTGTAGGGTCGCTCATTGGTGTGGATTCGTAGATGAGCTCTCAGGTTGTTCGATTGGGAGAAAGCTGAAATTAATTATATTTCATTTTAGTGTGCTAGCAACACTAGTTCCAACTTTAGGCCCTATAAATTATTTGAAACATTTAGCGGAATACTAGTGAAAACCTACAAAATAATGCCGATTTTTTTTCTGGCCGGTTATTTTTTTTATATTATGTGTAATTTGAAAACAAAAAATTAGTCGACTGATGTTTTTTTCATTCATTTCCTACCATTACAGTGGGGGCGTAAGTTGGGACGGACATTACGGCCAATTTTGCCTACATATTATGACACTGGGTTGGTGATCATGATGATGATGACCATGACACTGTTTACGAGCAAGTGTGATGAAAAAATAGATTCACTTGTACGCAGATTACGACTGCAGTGCAGTTTACAACCCAGTGTGTCTTCGAGAGATAAGTTTAAAGATATTAACATTCTTACACTACGTCGCCGTATATTTATGAAAATGTTATTTATGTTAAGAAAAATATATTTTTTTATGACAACTAGTGACAGACATAACATTAATACGAGGAATAAAAATTAAGTAGCTGTTCTTGACAGTCGTGTTCACAATGTCTCAAATTAATTTAAGGGGCAATGTATACGCTTCTACAATAAGATTCCGATTGATTTTCAAAATCTGCCATTTACGAGGTTTAAAACTATAGTGAAACAAAAACTATATACTAAAGGTTTTTATAATACCGCTTCTGCGTACTTGGATGACAAAAATCCGTGGTAGTGGCCCGTTAAGCTCTTGCAGGCAGTCTCGATCTAAGACGTTTAAATTAAATATTCTATGATAAATAAAGTTTCTTGCTCATTCTTCTCAGGGGAATCTGCCTCACGAATGAGCAGTAGAGTTTAACGAGTATGACAATTTCAAATGTAATTATCTTACCTATGAAATAAAGATTATTTCACTTTGAGTGCCCAGGTAGCAGTAAAATTGAGTTGGAATAACGTTTACCTTTATTGCAGTACATGCAGACGAACCGCCGCTCAGCACGATGGTTACGCAGATGGTTCAGCAGTTGAGCATTCTTGTTGAATGTCTTGTGACATATGTCGCAATATAGAAGGCTTTCTGAGCTTTCCTGGAATAGTCAAGATGTCATAGAAACCTTAGGGCGCATTTAGTCGGCACGAATTTCATCACTACATGAAGGGGTGGTAACTTGACGGCCGCCACACGGCGGCCGCGCTAGCCTTTCTCCTCGTATAACTGGGCGCTTATTACCCAGGTTGAATGATCAAATCCATACCTGTCTGCAGATACGAAAAACAGAGAAAATCTACGTTCAAGAGTGCTAACACTCTATACACCGTGAAATTTTAATTACCCTTGAACATTAACAGGCTAATATTAATTTATATTACATTCACATTTAAAAAATGTAATATACGTGTCATAAGGATTTCCTTGAAATATCCTCAACTTACATTGGTAACTCCGTAAAGTAAACACCGCATCACCAGTCAGCCTGTGAGCACGGCCAGTGCAACCTGGCCGAAACGTCGGGAAACTAAATAGGTGTGAAAAATACCTATTCGTATGTAAACGCGTTTATTCCCGTTTCCAAATGTTAATACAAGGCGAAAGTTTAAAAGTATTATAGTAACTCCGTAACCTGTAAACCCTACAATTACTGCACTAGAGCTGTGCGCCGATCGTAAAATCTTCGGAGGCGGCGTCTCACGGTTTTCCAACCAGAAACGAAATTCTTGCATTTTTAGCTGTTTAAAAAAATACTAGGCGATTGCATCGCTGCAAACGCGCAACTGCATCGATACAGCCCCTGGATTATGGATAACATTTTGTTTTGTTAATTGTAAATTTAAAAGAGAAATTAATAAACACATTAAATAAATAAATTAGTTAATTAATTTAAAGCCTCCGTACTATAACTGCCTCCGTAGCCGAACGGTTACCATGCCGGACTGCCACGCAGAGGTCCCAGGTTCGATTCCCGGGCCGGGAGAAATAGTATGTATGGCCTACAATTATTTCTCTCGTGAGTTTGGGTGTCATTTGTGGTTGTCTATGTGTGTGTCCATGGCACCCGCGACACAGGGTTCCCTAGTGCGAGGCTATGTTGAGTGTGTGCGTTATTTATTAAAAAAAAAGAAAAAAAAGCGTGCATGGCGTTTACAACGCTGCTTAAAGTTGCGCGCGTGTGTAGAGGTAGACGATTAGCGACTGCATCGCTTTAGCATCGTGTTTGCATGGCTGCTAAAAGTCGCCGTGTGTAACCGCTCCAAAACATTGAATTAATGAACTTTGTATTCACTTTGCACGTTTTTCACGCTTTAACCTTTAATGTGGTTCCTTTGGAAGTTGTTATCATAATACAACGTTTTTTTAGCATTCCTGTACATATGTCCATGATTACTAATTATATGTAATTGACAATGAAACTTTAAATTGAATATTAAATTATTTAAGTCTGTATGCTCCATCGTCAACCTCAACGTCACTTACCATCAGGTGAGATGGCGGTGAAATGCGCGCTTAATTTTGTTTGTCTTTTAATAAAAAAAAGAACGGTTTTTTGTATGAACCAAGCTTATACACTGTTATTTGAATATTATCTCCAAAGCAACAAAACGAGATAAGTCAATGTACAGTTTGATATTTTGCTGCTGTCTGTACATTTATTTGTGTAAACGCAGGTTGAATAGAGCTGACATTTGACATTTAACAAAATAAGTATAGTTTCACAAACATATTGAAGATTATATAGTCACATATATTCAACAGACTAAATTAGGTATAAAATATTTTTTTTTTTAATAATACTGGTGCACACACATGGAAAAGTCAATCAGTATTTTTAAATGCAGTGATAGTTGTTTGTGTTGTTTCACATCTGTTCGTTGACTGTCATTAGCTACTGTACAGTATATTATTGGAAATACATATTTTAATTATCTCAGGTTAATTAAAACGCCACAGTATTGTATGCTTACTCAGGACAACCTGTTGGTCACTAATTCATATTGGTTCAAAAATTTTTTAGGTGTAGGATGCTGTAATGACCTATTTAAAATAAACATTAATTATGCATAATACTTATACCATAATTTTAAGATAAAATGTAAGTTTGTTTGTACTTTTTTCATTTTCTACTCTACAAAAGGACTCTAATTGTAAAACTATTCCACTAAATGATTAGAAATAAGTAAAAGTAGAGTAGCCTTGTTACCCAGCAAGGAACAAATCATTTTTGTGTTTACTTTTAGATTACCATTGTTTTTGACCTTTTGGTGATTTTTAAAACATTTATTATTGAAAAAATGTGCAATCTTCTAAAAAAAAATTAAAAAGTATAATGAAAAATAAATTTTAATTTACTGATTTTCAATAAGTTGTGTGTAGTGTAGCCACAGAAAATTTCAAATATATTATTCAAAACCTTCTGATCTTTACCTCATCTTTATTATCCTGCGGAACATTGTCTCCAATAGTGACCTCTGGCACCAATGGCTGGCATTTAAAGCAGGCGTACACACCATCTTTGCCAGTTTCAAATAATTGCTGCAATGTACAAGTTAAAAATGTTAGAACAGTTGTGCATTCTTCATTTCATTACTCATTTCAATAAATTTTAGAATCAGAGTGCTAATAACGCAGCTTTACCCCTTTACCATTGACCCTAGGTTGAAGCGACAGTTTAGCTATCAACTATAATAAGTATAAATCAAAATAGACTAGTCGCAATGACATAAGCTGCAAATGCCCTGGAAACATGCACTAATAATAATAGATCACAATTGCTTTATCAATTTGTGAGGAAAACTAATCTTTTTCAAAAATTTCAACTTTAATGTTCTTATTGCAGGGCACCCACCTGATATATATTACAATTAATTACCTACAAACATGCTTACACAATGCTAACGTTCCAGTATAATTCTAGCTCTTGTATGTGTTGGGCTTTACTTTATGAAACCCAGTGAAAACAACATATAGAATAATAAGCTATAGAAAATATGGAAGTACGTTGTTTTGTTAAGTGCTTGACAGTTTGGCGTAATATAATTGTATTTCTGAATACAGTCAAATATTTAGGTAGGTACCAAAAGCTGGCTATGGACCTTATACTTTGTGTACATAGGGCTAAGCTTCATGTGCCTAAGAGGAAAAAACAAACGCAAAGTTTTTTACACAGTCCGAGTCAGACGTAAAAAAAACATTGCGACCGACGACGACGAAGTAAAAAAAATACGCGGGCAGGTTTCGAATGCAAGGGAAAGTTTTTTTTTACGTTTTATTGCACTGCACTGCGCACAATAAAATGTAGTTAAGACCAAGGAAACCCACATAAGCGTAAATACAAATCGATAAGACGACGAAACCTCACCGTACGCGTTATTTTTATAACATTCTCGTAAAGAAAACAAAAAAAAATATAATACAAAAACAAGAAAGGAACATGAATAACTACGCATAAATACTTACAACCACTGGTTTTGAACATATCCCACATTTATCCATCTTTTACACACACAATTTCACACAAATTCGATAAATAAATCATACAAATCCGTAAATATTGATGTTTTTCTCAATAAAAGCGACTCCTCGAAACAGACATGAAGGCGGGGGGTGGTGGATGGAGCGGGGTGGGGCCCGCGCGGTGATCATAGACAAAAGTGTTGCCAGCAACATTGTTGAGCAAATTAACATTATCGCCTATACACTTTTTTATTATTTTTATTCACGTAACCGGTCGCGGAATCGCCGATATATGACACCCTTCGGCCAAAACTCCTCTTTCATGAAGGTCAACAGATGTTCGGTCGGCATTCTCACCACAAACGAATAAAATTCACGTTGTGGCGGGACTCCAACACTTTTGTTCTGTGGCTCAGGGTGTATTTGAGTTTTAGTTTAATGTACCATTATCTCATCAGACTTCGTGGAGCAATGCAGTCGCGACAGGTGCAGCATTTAAGATCATTGGTTATCATATTTTTATTCATATGTGGAAGAAATTTATTTTGTTGTACGTATGTACAATAAATTAAAAAATAAGCTCATTGCCTAATGAGGCAATGGCCTATTTTGGTTATTATTGTTCCGGAAGCGTAAATTAAAATTTGTTTTGATATTGGCTATCACTACATCAGCAATAATTGTTTATTGAAATTATTTTTATTAAGTCAATAAAAAAAAAATCTGTTGTATAAGTGTATAATATTTATTCTATATTTATACTAATTGTTTATATAATCTCATTACCCCACCCTAATTCCTTTTTTTATGTTTGTCCACCTTCTAATCCGGTTTCCTGTGTGTTACAACTTTTCCCGTTTTAAAGCTAAGTCAAAAACCTCTCAAGTTTGCTTTCAAGTTTCTCAAACTTTTACCGCCAAAAGCCAGGTAAAAAAGAAAAAAAATGTCTACACTTCGCATAAAAGTACTCTGATACCAGGCCAAGAAGTAAAAAAGTAATTTGATTTGACATTTGTCTCGTGTTTCTATTCGGGAAATTGCGTTTTTTATTTATTTTTCAACTTCTGTATAATATTTATTCGTTTCCATTTTTAACTATTTTAATTTTGAAATGTGAACTATGACAATTTTTTATGTTTAAATAAAAGAAATTGTGTTATTCTATGGTGCTTTTTTTAAGTGGAAGGAATTGAATAATTTTTAATAAAAATGTCTGAAAAGGCTAGTAGCAGCGGCATGCAGCCGATAGTGAAAATTGGTCACTATACTTTAGGAGCTACCCTTGGGGTAGGCACATTCGGTAAAGTCAAAATCGGGGAACACCAGTTGACCAAGCACAAAGTGGCTGTAAAGATTTTGAACAGACAAAAAATCAAATCTCTGGACGTGGTAGGCAAGATTAGACGTGAAATCCAAAATCTGAAACTGTTTAGACACCCGCACATCATAAAATTGTACCAGGTATGCATTTTTTATTATGACCTTGAAGTTGTTTATGATGAGGTAATAACACTTGGGTTGGCAATCTTGGCTTTTGCATTATAATAATATAATATTAATAATATACACACTCTTAGCCGTACACTAGGGAATCCCTGTATCACGTGTGCCATAGACACATACATAGACAACCACAGATTACACCCAAACTAGACTGTAGACCATACAAATATTTAGCCTGGCCCAGGAATCGAACCTGGGACCTATGCATGGCAGCCCAGACTGGTAACCATATAGCCACCAGGCATTCTACAAGTGCTTGTATTTCTCAGATGGATTACACAATATACAAGAGAAGTCCACCTGAAAATGTGTTGATGAAATGACATAGGCCTCTCCCAATGTACGCCTTTTTGCTGGGCCAATAGCCTTTTGGAGATCATCACTCTATATAGCCAGAGAGCATTCTACACTATGTTTTATAATATGTTATCTACTAATTACTTAATTATACAAATTAAACACTCTTCTTGTAAGTGTACTGAGACATAAAAACATTCATTCACAAGCAGAACTCTGCATCCACCTAACAACTACTTAGGCAATACAATGCTGAGTTGCCTAAACCAGCCTGTTATAGTATACTACACCATTAGATAGCTTATTCATGTCTTAAACTCTCTTATATATTATTACCTTATTCTTAATTTTCTTAAATAACATTTTACATCAACTTATACCTCACTTATTAATAGGTTACCACTTTAAATAAGACATGTACCATATTTCAGGTCATATCAACTCCCACAGATATATTCATGATAATGGAATATGTATCAGGAGGAGAATTATTTGACTACATAGTAAAACGAGGAAAACTTCATGAACATGAAGCACGTCGGTTCTTCCAACAAATTATATCTGGAGTAGACTATTGCCACCGTCACATGATTGTGCATAGAGACTTGAAACCAGAAAATCTATTATTAGACCATAATATGCATGTAAAGATTGCTGACTTTGGTTTGTCTAACATGATGATGGACGGAGAATTTTTGAGGACGTCCTGTGGCTCACCCAATTATGCTGCGCCAGAGGTGAGTATACAAAACTGGCAGAGCTGAGATATGCCGTACTTGATGGAAATAACCATTAAGGGTTTAATTAATATAAAAGGTCAATTTCAATTAGGGAACCTGATTAATTGTTGTATTCAGTTTCATGTGAAAAGACAGCTAAAACTCTGTACTCCTATGTGACATCCTGCCTCTCATTCTGAGGTTGACACTTTTTAAAAGAGTATTAAGGTGGTTTTCCACTGGTGAGGCGAGACGGGAATACAAACCTCGTCGATCTATTTCCACCAAAAATTGCCAAATTTCCACCAAAAATGACCCATCGCTACCTCGTGCGAACTCGCGCTGTATTTGTGACTAGCGATGATTCAGTGCTGTTCAGTTCGTCTAGCGATAAACACATGACTGAAGTAACATGTCCCAAAAATCATTATTTTTAAACATGTTTAGAATCAGATCTTTTGCACCCAACAATTTCGCGATTGATATTAAAGGCTATCGCGAGCTCGCGCGAGAAATTGAGTTTCCGTTGCAGAGTATAATAAATACTCTATGTGTGCAGCAATACGGTTCAATATTACATTAACAAATATTTCATTTTGCGAATCACCCATACTCGTCAATCTAGACCATTTCCACCGTTGATGCGCTAGGAGAACATAAAATTTACCATACAAATTTCAATTCTCGTCTCGCCTCGTTTCGCCTCGCCGATGGAAAAGTTACATTAACTTTAGTTATTGTTAAGGTGAACACAGATAAAACAATCCAGATTGATTGCCATTACAAGACCGACATTGGCGCCTGAGTATTACAGGTGTAACATAGGATGAACATTTACATAAAATATAATTATGTACATGGTAATAATACAAACAAAATGCTTTATTGACATAAATAATAATAATAAACAAAATAATATGACATAAACTTGATCTGTCTAAATAAAAACAATTATGGAATAATTTTTATGGTAGTTGTGCAAGGTAATATGTAACTAATTCTCATAAAGTATGACAAAGGAATCTTTTGAAAATTGTAAATTTTTCTAGGTCATATCAGGTAAACTGTATGCCGGTCCAGAAGTAGATGTGTGGTCATGCGGAGTCATCCTTTACGCATTACTCTGTGGTACATTGCCATTTGATGATGAACATGTTCCCACATTGTTCAGAAAGATAAAATCTGGCATATTCCCTATACCAGAATATTTGAACAAGAGCGTAGTGAGTTTGCTGTGCATGATGTTACAAGTGGACCCAATGAAGAGAGCTACAATTGAAGATGTAAAGAAACATGAATGGTTCCAAAAGGACCTGCCTGGATATTTATTTCCTTCACCTGTTGAACAGGTATTTTTTTTTTTAATTGTTGAGGTTTGATGCTGTATTTTGCAAAACATATTTACTGCACTGAACCTGAAGCATCGTAACTCATCAGCATTCTAGTTGTGAACTACAACTAACAACTTACCAGTGACTGTTAAACTTTTAAGTACATTAGAACCAATTGCACGACAAGCGCCATCTGCGCGTATACGCGCCGCAGACGCGCTGTAGCTGCGCGTATGTATCGCGCATTTTTCAACTACATGAAATTTTAAGTGTAAACTCCAGTGGAGTATATAAGCTTCTTGCTTGCAACGCGACGATTCACTATAGTTTGGTAAATTTATTATGTTTTGTAAAAAGTCATGGGACAAAAGTTGTTGTTTATGACGTTAGTAATATAGTTGTTAGTATTTTAAAAATAAACCTTTATGCGTATTTTGATTATATTGCCAGGACAGCAGCGTAATAGACACAGAAGCAATAGCAGAAGTGTGCGATAAGTTCGGCGTAAAAGAACACGAGGTACACAACGCGTTGCTAAGCGGTGATCCACACGATCAGCTGGCGATCGCATACCATTTGATCATTGATAATAAACGAATCGCTGACGAAGCCGCTAAAGCCGAAATCAAAGACTTCTACGTTGCTAGTAAGTATTTAATTGAATTAGTGATTGGCAAAAGAAGCTCGAAAGTAGAATTAATGCAGTAAAAGTAAGAGGTTTGAGAAATATGGCTGGAGTGAATCTGGACCCCGATTCAGAACTCTTCGATATTTTAACCGAATCGTTCTCGAATCGAAGGGCGCTTTCCGAGCTATTTTCGATTTTCGATTCGAGTTAAACGTTCAATGCGAATTCGGATACGATACCGTTATCCAACAGCCTTTACGGAGTTAGTCGGTGAAATAGATTATAAGAAAAATGAAAATCCTTTTATGTACATTTTTAAAACATTAAAAGCCTAAAATATAGGAATTACATTACTTTTGCATTAAAATATTTATTTTAATAATAAAATTGAACAAAATCCAGACTTTATTTAAAATAATAAGAGATTTTAAACAATAAGATGTTACTTTCGTTCGATAGCTGTGTTCTGAATAACGTTTGTAGCCTTTCGAGTAATCGTACGGGTGTGACGTCATTTCGGTTTCGTCATAAGACGTTCGATTCGGGTGTTGTGAATAAAAATGAAAAGAAATCGATTATCAAATCGAAACGGTCGACAACTGAGTTATTGTAAGGTTTGGAATCGACCCCCAGATGGATAAACAACGGAATAGTGTGATAAAAGAGCGTTTCGGCGTGGAACATAAGATCTTTGAGGAAAATTTGTGGAATAAAGTTGAGTGGTAGAGTGAATTATTGTATTAATAATACGTGAAAGATGTGGCTTCATTGAGGATGTAGTGACTAGAATAGAGAAAGGAATGTTGAGGCGGTTTAGGCATGTAGAGCGGATGGATGTATGAAGAATTTTTAAACAGATTTATTATGCGAATGTGGATGGAAGGGTTTTAAGAGAAGGACTTACATTGACAAGATCAGTGATGTCCTTAAGAAGACTGGGATCCGAAGTGACAAGATTAAAAGAAGTTGTATGAAAAAGGTAGTTGATGTATGTGAGACTCGAGAGTTGTCAGGATAAAGTGGCGTGCCGTGGTGCCTGGGTAGGCAGGGACTATGGGACTAGGGCGTGAGCTTATGTATGAATTTGTTCTACATCGAATTTGGCAAGACTATAGTTATGGTTCTTGCAGTGAACTTTACACTGACCGTGAGCTAACCACGATTGGTATTACGACAGGCAACTCGCCGCCTACAGTATGTGAGAGCTCAGTGTCACGACAGCACCCCGAGCGCATCGCACCCCTCCGCGACAACACCTCTCCCGCAGCCGCGCCGCCGCTCGACAAGCAGCGCGGCACACCAGTCAAAAGGTACAACATACATAGAAACTAAAACCGTGTGACTTTAGGATGCTAAGGTATCGTCATCAGGTCGGCAGATTCCACGAAAACCCGTGAGGTATTAAACACCCGGAAACACACGGGACGAACAAGTCGTGCGCCTGATGGTAAGATACACGACTGTCCATGACAGTTGCAGTACCATTCAGCTCTTTAAATCGCACTGCCACTGCGCCCGTCAACCTGAGACATAAGTTGACAAGTCCCATGTGCCTGTAATTTTGGTGCACATGTTTAGTGCAACTCTAAAGGCAATCTGTTGATAACGACCAATATTGCCGACCTCGGTAACCCAACGGTCTACACTATGAGCGCTGGATGCTAAAGTCCCGGGTTCAATTCCCGATAGGACCAATTTGGGAAATGAACTTTTGTAATTTTTTTAATAATAACGCAAACACTCAAAATAGCCCCGCACTAGGGAAACCCTGTGTCGCGAATGCAATGGACACGTATAGACAGCCACAAATTACACCGAAACTCACGACAGAAATAAACGTAGGCCATGCAAATATTTCTCCCGGCCCGGTTATCGAACCACCTGCGACCTCTGTGTGGCAGTCTGGCACGGTAACCGTTCCGAAGTTGGTTCAGGGAGTCTACTCCCGTTCTCTGTCTGTCCGACAATGTCTTTTGGTTTACTGGAAGACGTCGGTTCGAATCCGGCCGAATAGAAGGAATTTTTTCTAAGTGTTCCACCTTTGTGTTAATAATTATAACAAACTTTATAAATTATATATAATTCTTATGTTCCTGATACTCATTTACTTATTTAGTTCGTATGCCTAAAGGTGCAGCATAGAGGGTCACCATAAATTTATTTATTACCATGTATTTCAATGTATCTAATGTAACCTATGTTGACGAATAAATCGACTCCTCCTACGTAAAGTATCGTATGTCGAAATTGCCAAGTTTACAGGGGAGCGTTAAGTTTTGAATTCACTGAAATGATTATAACACGTGACTTGTGACAATTAAATTGTAAAATGATAAAAATAAATTGTGGTTGTTCATCTAACCGATATCTAGGACTGTATAATAACTCTGTATGAGTTTTGCCGAATAAAACTGAGAAATAAAGTCACGTGTTATGCTCATGTCAGTGAATTCAAAACTTTAAAACGCTCCCCTGTAAAGTTGGCAATTTCGACATACGATACTTTGCGTAGGAGGGGTCGAAATGTGTTTGAATTTGAATTGAGTTACTAACATATCTGGGATTTGCGAAACGCGATCTACAATACCCTGTAAGCGGTTTTTTAATATCTTATTTAGTTTCACTTTTATTGTTAAGCAAAAATTAGCTCAATTGCTATTTTTTAGGTGACCATAAAACTTTAGGTGCCAATATCTCAAAAGTTACCGAAATTTAAATGTGTTAGTTATGACAAGAAGGACAGGACGTCACCTCTTGCGCCAAATCACCGGCGCTACGTGCCGCAATTAGCGTTCACCTTATATCTCACATCAATAAGGTCAATTAGTGTTAATGAATTTGTAATTTCTTTTATTTCAACAAATTACTTTAATTTGATTGATTTTTTATCCTCCGACTGTGGCCTACGTGATTCGCGCAGACAGTACAGATACGAACCTAGGTCTTGACTAACAGATTTCCTTTAGGGTTGACTCGTAACACAAAAAACATAAAAAATAACAATAGAAAGTTTATTTAGAAATCCGGAAAAATAGTTTCATTTCCAATGTGTTAACAATCGCGAAAACATAACTTTTGTTACAATTATTTATTTTTTTGTTTATGTTTTTCTTTTCTTCAAACATTATTTCACTAAATTTTGACCATAAATAAATTAATTGAATGATGAATTAAATTGTATCAGCTTGACTTCACTATATTTATGCTTTTTACTGTTAATTATTGTGATCTAAATTTTTATACTGGTTTTAATATATTTCATAATTGTAATAATGAATGACATAACTTGTGTACGAGATTAATAAATTAGCTAAGTTATTATCATTGTAGTGCCCTTTCAGTGTTCATGTGCTGGAATACTATTATGTAAAGCCTCTTGTGATCGACATGAATCAAAGAATAAATTAATTATGATTATGATACAAATAACAGCCACACAAGAACCATATTTCGTATTCTTATCGAGTCCTTAGGTTTTTGCGATTGTTACATTAATTAAATTAAAAATAAGGTATTAAATTAATAACTTTAGTGTTTGTAACTATAGTGAAAAAAAATAGGGTGGTTTATTATGAATATTAGACATAACTGGTTGATGACCGTATCACCTAAGTCAACCGTGACCATGGGACCTGTAAAGGGCTCGAAACGTTGGTTTGTTTGAAAAAAAATATACGCGTTATAAATCCGGAAAAATAGTTTAATTTCCTTTCGTTTTCTAAATTTTTAAAACTTAATTTTTATAATTATTGATACAAAAATCGAAAAACACAAAGAAAAATTTCATCGATCTGAATGACGAGTTCAACCTGAAATCTGCTACTATTCCGGGGCCATTAACCAACTTCTCGTGTGGAATAAAGCGACAGACATACAAACAATATTTGTATTGCAAAAACGAGCGATTCGTTCTGTGTACCGTTTAGGTTCTCGGGTTTCTCTCAGAGAAAAGTTTAAGGAGACTGGTATCATGACTGTGGTATCACAGTACATTTACTTAAATATATGTAAAAATATACATAATTTCATTAAGAAAAGAATTATCCAGAATATTAGCCTCAGGGTTAAGTCCCAACTCATGGTGCCACGATTTCGCTTAATAGATTGATTAACGGCTCTTTTATGGAGAAATGTACACATTTTTTAAATAAGATTCCGGAGCATACATTAAGATGATCATTTCCTAAGTTTATAACCTACAATAAAAATATTTTAATTGAAAATCATATTACAAAATTGAACACTACGTGTTAGATGAATATGTATGGAAAGGCGACGTGGCTCTAGATTCCACACAAATTTGATTCAAAGCGTATTGCATTTAAGTTTATATTTGGTTTTTTTTTTTCAAACTAACCTAATAACCTAACAAACACGCGATTTAGAATTAAAAAATCGTTCGATTTTCCATATATCGCACTGTTAATACAATAGTGTATTAAATCAAAAGTGCAATTTTTCAGAATCGATGAAAAGCGAATACTCACTTCCCGTGAAAGAACATTAAAATTTATTTATAAGGTAAAGTTTATTACTGACATCTAAACAATTTCCTATTGGCCCAATGTTTTTAAAAATAAAAGAGAAGAAATAATTTCATATTTTTGAGTAAGGACTGTTTTTTTTGGCCAGAACTAGCACACATAAAGTTTGTCTCATTTTGAGTTAAGTAGATATTTTTTAATTCTTTCTTACAACATTCTATCGATGGTTTTATTGACGTGTAGAGAATCAAATTTTGTTGCAGCAATGATTTAATCCTGAAATTCACATATTTTGAGTTACAACACTGTTGTAATATTAGTGCGATATGTAACAATCGCGAAAAGCTAAGAACGCAATATGAGACTTACTTTTTATATTTCCGTCAAGATTTTGATTTATCTGAAACACATCGAAAACAAAGCTATTAAAACTTTTTTTGTCACGCATAGTGCCCATTAAACGAAATCGCTGAATACATTTAACTACATTATCTAGACCGCATTAATAAAATGAATGCCTGTAGTGAAAAGTTGCCGCCGTAAACTTGCCTGCTTATCGATATTTTACAGAATATATCACGGAGAGTGTGCGATGGAATTACACGATTTAATTCCGCCTTCCCCTTTCCATCATCGGGGGACTAGACGTGGGCTGGGATTCCACCGCTATGTTGTAGATATTCCCAGGATTCGCTCCAAGCTTTACGCTTCCACATTTATATGACGAACAGCTATGGAGTGGAATTCCCTGCCTGCAGATTTTTTCTCTGAACGTTATAACTCGGGCCTTTTCAAGGCGAGAGTGAATAGGCATTATTTAGGTGTGAGGCTCTATCGTTGACCTCATCGCCACTTTCCATCAGGTGAGACGGAAATCACTTATATTTTATTTAAAAAATTGCTGACAAATATTTTATAAAAAATACACCGTTATAATAAACCTAAAGAACAAACATAGCACAATATGAAAGCGGACAACTTTTAAGAAAATATTTCAATTTAACCATTATTTAAATACAGAAAAATATAATTATGTATATTTATATAAAGTTTTTCAAGTCCCTAAAATTAAGTTGAAATGTAACAAAAATGAATTGCCGTACAAACGGCATTACAAGTCAGTGAAGAGTAAACAAAGTAAACAATGTGCACTTGCCACTTGTGAGAATTTAACATATTGATTAACTATTGTTCATAGTCCATACTTTTACAGTTTATATTTAGGAAGTGATTAAACAGAGAAAGAAAAATCAATACGCGGACCGTGAATACGGTGACGCTTACCTACGTATACCGTCATGTGGTGTGTTTATTTAAGAAACGAAGAACAAATTACACATATTACAATCTTCAGATTTTATTTCACGATTCAAAAATACAAATTATTATTTCATAGAAATATTAATTCAACGATAGTTTTTATTATACAAATCGACTCATCCGAAGAACAGAGTCCGATGTGATTATACAGTGAAACGAGGATAAATACATAATCTCGATATTGACTGCGTTGACTGCCTCCGTGGCCGAACGGTTACCATGCCGGACTGCCACGCAGAGGTCCCAGGTTCGATTCCCGGGCCGGGAAAAATATTTATATGGCCTACATTTATTTCTCTCGTGAGTTTGGGTGTAATTTGTGGTTGTCTATGTGTGTGTGTCCATAGCACCCGCGACACAGGGTTTCCCTAGTGCGGGGCTATGTTGAGTGTGTGCGTTATTATTATTATTGTATTTATTTTAAACTCTCGCCTCTCCCAAGGCCTAAAAGATTATTATTATTATTGAAAATAAGGCCTATCTGTAGGAATTTCAGAATTTTAAGTTATTTCGTTTCGGAAATGTAAAATCGAACAACGGTCGAAATGTTTCTAAGTAAATTGTAGATACTTTTTCTGATTATTGACCGATTTGTGTAAAAAATATTATTTGATTTTCAGAGCAAAATGGCACTTAGGCATTCGATCACAAAGCAAGCCAAATGACATAATGCTGGAAGTGTTCCGAGCGATGAAGGCTCTCGACTATGAATGGAAAGTCATCAACCCGTACCACGTAAGGTAAGTCGTGCGATTTATTTGAGCACACGGTGGGAAAAACAAGGGAAGATAAAGCTACAGAGCCACCAACTTATCGGTGATTTTTTTTCCAATATCAAAGCATGAGGTTGGTGTCGCTAGTACCTACAGTTGTGAGGATGCTATTTTTAATCGTTATCCCACCTTTTTACCACTGTTTTCTCTGGTACCTGATCACCTACTTTGAAATTTTGAATCGTCTTGAATTCCTTTTTTTCTTCGACACTTATTTTTCTTCTTTCCATCGCCACTCTCTGCTAAATTTCCAAATCGAGCTCACGTGCTCGACTTCACATAAAATTCTAACCAGTTAAATAATGTAACCGAACTGCTTGTAAAGCCCAGTATTTCTAGAAATTACAAGCCCTTTTGGGGTAATTTCCTTTTTACCATAACCCGTATATAATATAAGTAGGGAGTGTTTTATATCATTGTGCCAGTTTTTATATCATTATTTTGTTACAGCCTTTACGCCTTTACCTGTCCTTTTTCCCTTCCTGTATTATTTTTTTATTTCTACAATAAAATTATCTTATCCGTGTATTTAATTACTCGAGGCCCGCGTTACACAGTATGCCAGAGACTGATTTATTATATTATTATTATGTATTTGTTAAGCATTGGCAATTGCGCCATCAGGTTGGACAGGCAACAAATAATTAAGAAATTCAATACGTAATAATAAACTAAAAATCAATTTGTACGAAAACTGTAACAACAAAAACCCGCCATTTTTTTCCTGACGTTTTTCTATATGGTAATATTTTGCATTTTTTTAAAATATATAAGTTGGTGGCTCTGGATATGTATGTAATGCCATAGATAACTGCCTGCGTAGCCGAACGGTTGCCATGCTGGTCTGCCACGCAGATATCTCAGATTCGATTCCTGGACCGGGAGAAATATTTGTATAGCCTACATTTATTTCTTTTGTGAGTTTGGGTGTAATTTATAATTGCCTACGTGTATGTCAATGATATGTGTACGGTATTGTTATTAGAGCTCCTTGTGAAAGAGTTCGTCCAGGGTAGTGCTGCCACCTTACCTGTTACAGGCACATGGGTCTTATCAACTTGTGTCTCAGGGTGACTGGCGCAGTGTTATGGACAGGCGTGTAGCTTAGCATCAGGAGCACGACTTGTTCGTCCCGTCACTTGATATTATAAAAAAAATATTACTATTGATGAACGAAAAAAATGAAATGTAAGATATAAAGTTGAGCGCGCTGTTAACTGTACACAAAACTTTTCAGGGTGCGAACACTAAACAAAATGACAGGCAAGTACGTGAAAATGTCGCTGCAACTTTACCAAGTGGATTATAAATCCTATCTTCTAGACTTTAAGTCTTTATCTGGGGAGAAGGAAGATACGGAGGACGACGCGACGTCCCCACTCGCCCCCCCTCCACCGATGGCCCCCCCAGCAGCGGCTCCACCGCAGCCGCAAGGGCATCATACTATGGAGTTCTTCGAGATGTGCGCGGCTTTGATAATACAACTTGCACGGTAAAAGTGAATGATTAAACATACAAGGCAGTAGCGGATTTGCCCTAAGGCCCAGTAGACCCAAGACTTGGGCGGTCAATCGTAACGAAAAATTCACTGACGGTAACAAAAAATAACTCATACCATTGACCTACAAAATACTTATATATTCTAAAGGCTCACGCACCCTATGGCTGGTCGCACTGCACCGCATAATAATGTTCCTTAATCACTTTCATACATTTTATGTATAAAATATAGATATTTTACATATCTATAATGTAATGTATAATCACTATATCACTACATATTATCACTACCGCGTCTGCTGTTATAGCTAACTAAATTTCTGACTCGAATTCGATAAAAGTTGGCAATAAATTCTTTATGTCGTCTACCAGTATGTGATGAGTGCTGAGAAAGGGGTGACTGGTACTGACTACATAGCTGGGGCCTAGGGCGGCTAAAACTGCAAATCCGCCACTGATACAAAGTGGAATAGTTATGTGTGCCCAGGCGATTATTCCGTAAATATAAGCGATATGAAAAACCTTTAAGCCGATGTCGAAAGTACGTTACTTGATAAGTAAAACGACATTAAAGATCCAAAATTTTTAAGTTAAACGCTGCCTACATACATTACATACATACATTTAATATGACATTCGTTTAACCACGGAACAGAACTCAACTCGATACAAGACAGCGTAGTCGGTTTTTTTTAAAATAATGTATTTATTAATAATGCAGTCATTCATAGATGGCGCTACGGCTAAAAAGTCATTGAAAACCAAATAGAAAGATCCGACAAACAAGCACATGGAAAAATTCGTAAGGTCCGCTGCCGCTGGTTCGTTCCGTGGCTTAGTTGGCATGGCGTCTGACAGTTTGCTTGAAGACGCTAGTTCGAATCCAGCCGGATCGAAGGAATTTTTCCTTAGTGTTCGATCTTTGTATTAATAATTATTCAAATATTGATCAAGAGCTACAATTATTTTCTTAATTTCGAAAAATATTCGTGTCAATAGATGGCGTTGTGTGTTACAAACTAATTTATAAATTAACGCTTCCTAATACGGGTAGATGGCGTTAATCCTAAACAAAATAAAAGAATAGCTGGCACTATCCATAAAAATGTGTGTAATAAGCGCCATCTAGTTGATTTGTTTGTTATCACTATAAATTAGAGTTACACTCTTAGGGTCGTATTCCAGAACTCTACTCAATACTCAAGTCAGGACTTGAGTATTGCAGTGAGCACTGAAAATCATACTCATCAAGCCCTTGCCATTAGGGTCGTATTTCCAGTGCTTGAAATCATACTCAAGTCTGCTCAAGTCCTGACTTGAGCATTGAGTAGAGTTCTGGAATACGACCCTTAGAGGAATGAATTGATATCCACGGCCATTTACATATAAAAACCACTTCCAGGCTTTTGATCAGCGCCACCTAGATATAAGACGGTAATTTGACCTTTTTCAGAGCTATGAACTGTAGTTATGGAGTCAGTCCTCTAGAGTTATTGGTTCATTGTTTAACGTTAAAATGTTGTATATTTCTATTTTTATTTCAAAAAGGGTTATCAATAATCTGAAAATGTATATAGAAGATAATTTGGATTTAATGAGTACAGAGTACTAAAAAAACTGACCTCAAAAGTCACTCATCCCCTAATTTAACAGCCTTAGAGGTGGAATATTTTCTTCAAATTTAAATGGAACCACTTCTGAGGTACCCTCTTTCCAACAAAAAAAGAATCATTAAAATCTGTTCACAAGTCGGAGTTATCGCGTAACATAGATACAAAAAAAACATACAGTCGAATTGAGAACCTCCTCCTTTTTTAGAAGTCGGTAAAAAAGGTTATCTTATATTTACGAAATAATCTATTACACCCTGTATAGCGAACGGTTACTAGGTATTCGCTGAAGTGTTGGCAATTGTTGGATAATAAAAACATCCTATTTCGATAAGAAAAGTCTTGTCCTCTCATTATGAGATAAATTACTTGCAATATATAAGGGAATACTTATTTAATTGACGTGTTAAAGTACAAAGACTCTATTAGCTAAAATGCTTGCAGCGAAGAATCAAGAAAGGAGTTAAAGATCTTCTACTTAAATCATTATAACTTTTTTATTTAATAAAAAACCGACCTCAAAAGCTTGTGGAATTACAACTGTTTTATTGAAATCGATTAACGGAAAGTGGGTGAAATCCAATAAACCGGGTTTTATCCCCTAATTTACCAACCACCCTTATAGGTGAAATATTTTCTTCAAATTTAAATGGGACCAGTACTGAGATACCCTTACCGTTTTTTGCAGTCGGTTAAAAAGGAAATTAGGGCACAGCAAAAAATATCTTCTATTGCCCCAAAAAACAAAAGACGGTTGCGCGTCTCCCGGAAAATGCTCACATCGTCTCGGGAATTCCAGCAACTTCCCGTATCGGCCGTTTCCTCATGCTCCTACTAGGTGCTACTACTGGTAGGAGTACGAGGACCAATATGTCCTTATGGTCTGTCGTGATGTCGTATCTAATAAGTACACTGAACTAGAATAAAAAAATATAAGAATAAAAAGTCAAAAATATCTTTATTTCGTAGGTAAGAAGAAAATTACACTTGAAATCATCACTTTGCGCTCTTTCGTAAGGCAGATTCCCCTGAGAAGAATTATCAAGAAACTCTAGGGTTGCTCTTTAAAATTAATATAATAATTTAAATGTACATACAGAAACACCTGAAAGAGGTAAACCGATCACTACCATGGATTTTTGTCATTCAGGTACCTACGCAGAATTGTATAATAACCTTTAGTATAAAGTTTTTCTTTTACTATAGTTTTAAGCCTCGTAATTAGCAAAGACTGAAAATCAACCGGAATCTTATTATATACGTAATTAGAAGCGTACATACGAGTACTACAATATCAATTACATATGACATATTTATCCTTATCCTACCAGTAGGAGCGCCCAGCAGGAGCATGAGGAAACGGCCCCCGTATCTAGTCTGTTTGTTACACAATTGATTTAAAATTCACATCCATTTAAATCTCCAGTAATCCAAATTGGGCATCGCAGTTGCAATGTAACTAAAATACCTGTATGGCTATAAAAAGTTGTATAAAGCAAGTGGTACAACGTCCCTTAAATTATTGTTTAGTAAACTTTAATAACATAAATGCAAATAACTGTATACAGTTATAACGTTATATTAACTAATTTTAGACTAAGGACATAAAAAATTGTTACTAGAACAAAAGAAAAAACAAAAGCAATAATAATAACCTGCTTACTAATTAAGCAGAACAAAAAATAAAAATATAACTATAAATACAAAGATCGAACACGATGATTCCAAAGACTTGACCTGCTCCGTGAGCGAAGGGTATGCTGGTCTGCCACACACAGGTCCCGCGTTCGATTCCCGGGCCGGGAGAAATATTTGTATACATGCCTACATTTATTTCTCTCGTGAGTTTGGGTGTAATTTGCGATTTATGTCTGTGCCCATGGCAGCCGTGATACAGAATTTTCCTTTTACGGGGCTATGAGTGTGTGAGAGTGTGCGTTGTATGTACACCTATAAATAAAAGGTATAATAAAAACGTCGGGACTATCCCGCATAGGAAATAAGTTTTTTATTAAACAAAAATTTTGAAAACTAACGATAAGGTCGACAATGATGCATGCACAGTTAAGAGTGGATATACCTCAGCTCTAATTCAAATTATTCCCGTACTAATACGGGGTTCATTTTGCTTGGATCGAGCAGCAGAGACACTGGCTTTATTTATTTTTAGAATTTATTTTTTTACAACAGAATTAAAGCCGTTTGAAAATATATCGTATACCATACTTGTTCTATTTAGTTCGGTTGATATAAAAAAAAATCATTGGTATATGTAAAGTACCTATTGAAGACATCGGTTTCCTTGTAAAATTTCGAGGTAAGTTTGAGTTTATTTTTTGTATCGTGAAAATTTTTAGGAATTGAGAGAATTTTACTATTATATTTTTTCCAAGTGATTAATTCAACACTTTCACTATTGTGCGGAGTAAACCAAACCCATTTGTGGTTGTATCGGCTCTTAAAGCACTTAAAAAGCCTTAAAAAGTTTGCTGGTGCTAGAAAAGCTTTTCGCACATTATTTTTTTGAACAAACTTTCTTTTTACTTATTTTGTTTGTATGACCACCTATTTAAACCTAGTTTAGTGACTGTTAGGTCTCACGCAGTTACTAACAAGGCACAGTCTAACGTAATTACAAAATAATTAATTTAATAGTGCGTTTCTTCAGGGATATGAGTGTGGGCGTTATTATTATTATTGAGTCTGTGCCAAACCAGGGCCACCGCTCTATTAACTGAGTTACAGATCGACTAAGCAGGCCTAAGGTATCTCTCTAAGAGTCGTATTCTAGAACTCTACTCAATGCTCAAGTCAGGATTACACTGGAAACACAAGCACTGGAAATACGACCCTAATGTCAGGGACTTGAGTATGATTTCGAGTGCTATAAACCATACTCAAATCCTGACTTGAGCATTGAGTAAAGTTCTAGAATACGAACCTAAGGCTGCTAACAGACTAATAATAATAATAACGCACCCACTCAATATAGCCCCGCACTAGGGAAACCTTGTGTCGGTGCCATGAACACGCCCATAGACATCCACAAATTAAAAAAATAAATGTAGGCCATACGTCTCTCCCGGCCCAGGAATCGAAACTGGGACCTCTGCGTGGCAGTCCGGCATGGTAACCGTTCGGCCACGGAGGTAGTTTATTGATTGACTGCAAGCAGTTAATCAATAAACTACCAAACAACATGTTGACTGCAAACATGCAGTCAACATGTTAGCAGCCTTAGTGTCTGTTACTGATCTTTTGTATTGGGTTTATCATGGGTTTTTTCGGCTTTTATCGCCGTAAAAGATCTTTGTATTAATAATTATAACAAGCTAGTGGGGTAATTTCACAAAAAATAAAATGAATATAATTTGATATTCAATAAAAATCAAAACATAAATTATACAATATTAATAATGTCTTCAAAATAATTCTCACCGTGTTTTCTAACTACATTATAATGCAATTAAGATAACTTAAATTGTAACGTATTATTAGGTTGTTACGTTAAATGATTATAAAGATTTTTTTGCAAAGACAATCTGCAAAAGCGCGTTCGCTGTTCCCAGAGATATACCAACCCGTGTTGAAATTCATACGTGACATCTAAGTCAACAGAAACAACAAAAACATTCACATGAATAAACTTTTGGGACTTTTTCTCTCCCAGAAGGACCGTCAACAAAACTTTTTAGACATTTTATTCCCACAACTCCCAAGTGTACGTTCGTTACGGGACTTTCTGAGGGAATTAGTCCCAGAATTCCAATATAATGTGACAACAAACACAGAAAAGATGGGTCAACTGGTTACAGCAAACGATCCTAAGCCTTTATAAAGCTTTATTCATAGCGCAAAATTATGTAATGTTAAATTAAACTGATAAATACAGTATTAAAATAAAATGCATGATTATACAAAGCTAATTGTTATTTTAGTCGTTACAAATAGATGTTATATAATAAATGTAACATTTTATGTACTTTGTC